AAAAAAAAAACTCCAACAAAGACAGAAAAGCGCTGGAAATCAGACGGGATTTAAGACCCCGCTGTCTGGTGTCTGTCTGTCTGTCTGTCTGGGCTTCTGAGTGAACCCTGCGGCGGAATCCGTCTGCATCTCTCTCTTTTATCTTTCTTTTTTTTGTTAATTCTCCAGACACACTACATTATCCGCTGATCTTGATGAGATCGTAATGGACCGGTCGGCCCAAACTAGAGCGCGCATTATTTTTACGCAGTGATGAATCCAGCGCGCTGTCCCCGGGACGTACACGGTCAGACACCGATCCCGCTGCTGTGCACACTATCACAACCGAGGAATCTTGAGCGCAGAATGTGCTTCCACGGAGTAAAAAAATGGGTGGAAGGGGTTACATTTCCATGCAGCCCGGTCGGTGACTGACAGTCGTGCCTCTTTGCCCTACTGATAAATCACTGCCTGGAAGGTTTTGGGGGTAAAAAAAAATGTCTCGCGCTCCACAGCGTTCCAATAAAGTGCACCAGCATCGCTATAATAAGGTTATTATGGGGATTTACACTGTCTGCGGTGATACTTACAGGATTACCACGCTTGTCTATCTTTCATACGGGTGTAGTGAGACAGTTGCCCACAGCCGTCACTCCACTTGTACGGCCTATGTGAGTATTAATAACCAAACAGGAGCGGAGAAATATGCAGCGTGTGTCCATGCGTGCGGGGCAATAAGTTTCTTATTTAAAACTCACCGACATAATGCACCACGCACGTCTGTCCTTTTTTGGGGAAAGTCCTTCCTGTGGAGGAAACCAAAAGAGGCGCTTAATATAACGGGCTTACTACGCAACTGAGGCGGTGTTTCTGCGATCTGCATCGGGCTGGGCATCTATGCGAAACAGATTAAAGTGCAAATAGTAATGAACACAAACGCATTTTTTTCTTCCATGCAAGTTGGCTTTTTAAATTTTTTTTACCGTCGCCCGGGGTGATAGTCTCGATTTCGACTCCCATTTCAGCGGTGTGTTCTGGAGAGCTGTCCCTGCGCCCGGCTCGCTATTCCTGCAGTCCGTCCGTCTGTCTGTCTGCTCCTCCAGCGGATGTTCTCAGCTCTCTCTCTCTCTCTCTCTCTTCCTCTCTCTCTCTCTCTCTCTCTCTCCAGCTCTCCGCAGGGAGACCAACGTCAAGATAGTATATTGTACCACACCACTTCCGCCTGTAACCTCCAAAATAAAACCCGTAGAGAGAGAGAGAGAGAGAGAGAGAGAGAGAGAGAGAGAGAGAGAGAGAGAGAGAG